TCACTCCTTCAGACCTGATCCCTCAGCCCAACACAAGTCACTCCTTCAGACCTGATCCCTCAGCCCAACACTCCTTCAGACCTGATCCCTCAGCCCAACTCAAGTCACTCCTTCAGACTGGAACATCACTCATTATGAAGTTTAAATCAAATTCTCATACAAACCCATTCTAGTACAGCCACGCTCTCAATATTCAACACTTGTAACAAGGCTAAAGATAAACACTTGCTTGCCAGTGAAGCAAGGTTGCACAATGTTTTGTGATACTATGCTAGCTTCACCATTGCAAACAATGCATGATAAACCATTAACAATTCAACATTCAATCCATTCAGTTTACATTTATTCATTTTCTATTTTAAGCAAGAGCGCATACCGTAAAATGGGGTACCTTAGACCGGTGGGGTAACTTAAACCACTTTTCGTTTTTTTAACAAAAACCCCCACAACTCAAAAAAAACTATTTGACATAGAAAAATTTTGTCAATGGGCATTAAAGGCCTAATGCTGAGGCTACATAACACAATAGAAAGATTTGAAAAGTTTGCATATCTAATAGGTTAAAAAATTAAAAATGTGACCCACGAAAAAAAGCTATTATTTAAAGCCTGTCAGAGTACCCCCTCCAATTTTTTTATTTTTTGGTTAAATAACTCCAGGTTTTGATGCATTGTAGTAGAACTCTTCTAGTTACATATGCAAATGACAAATTTTAGGAAAGTGTCATAGTTTGCAAATGGGGGGCGCCGCCCCCAAATGGGGTAACTTAGACCACCTAATGTCAGCCCTGACGGGGTAACATAGACCGGCTTGGAAGTTAATATAAAATTACCATATATAACATATTTTATGTTTGACAGCCTATTTATGTTTTTTCTTTATGTTTCAGACTCTACAGAGTCTTATATATGGTAATTTTAACTTAATTTCCAAGCCAGTCAATATTACCCCATCAGGGCTGCCATTAGGTAGTCACATTTCCCTCATTATGGGGCGGCGCCCCCCATTTGCAAACTATGACACTTTCCTCAAGTTTGTCATTTGCATATGTAACTAGAAGAGTTCTACTACAATGCACCAAAACCTGGAGTTATTTGGAGTTATTTTACCAAAAAATATAATTGATTTTACAACCCGGTCTAAGTTACCCCAAGAGCTGGGGTAACAAAGACCATCATCACAAAGACATCACATAAAGACTATGAGAGGCAGGAGCCAGCAATTTATGGTGAGTGAAGCTAGAGTATAGACCTGTATTTTGCATGTTTCAATTCAAGTTTAATTTAGCTAGTAAACAAATGGCATCGTTTATAAAAAAGAAAGTGGTCTAAGTTACCCCATTTTACGGTATTCATGTTTCAAAATTAATAAACCACAACATTGTTCACAGCACTGCAAACCATTATGGTTTTAGGCTTCCAGCATTTATGTTGTCACAAATAGAAGCAAAATCTACATTTAGTTAAAAGAATACATTTTTCCTTAAACTATAATTCATGAAACTTGTTGATGTTACTTTTAGAATAAACTTCAGTTTTGTCACTCCAGTTTTGTAATATTGCTTTCTTGGCATCACTTATTCTAGAAGCTGAAAAGTGTGAATTGATTTAATTAGCATTCAAGCTTGCCTGCTATCACAACTAGGATTCAAGCTTCCTAATGAAAGGCTTTTTTCTCAAGTATATTTCAAGCAGATTACAAGTCAACACAACAAATATTTTCATATAAAAATGAAAATGTTTATGGAAGGGATGTTCTTCACCAAGAAATTTCAAAAATAAATCAAAGACTGATATAAAGACCATGAGATGAATAAATTGATCTATAAAATCCAATGCTTTAAAGCATTCAAATGAATCTGTCAGGTACAAACAAACTAAATATATTCCTGTCTCTTTAACTGGCACAAATATGTGAATGTAGGGGAGTTTTAGAACTCATCTCATTCCAATCTCAATATTTGCCTCAACAGTAACTAAATTGTTGATTACAGTTGAGTTCAGTCTATACCTTTGGGTATAGGCAGCTATTTGACTGGAGTAGATCTGAGTATTTCACTCAACAATAACTAAATCCTTTCTCCTCCTAACACCTTCGAGTATAGGCAGCTGTTTGACTGGCATAGAAAGGGCAACTTATGTCAAGGCGACAACTGAAGTGCATGTACCACAAGAGGCCAGGAAGTTGATGTTATCCTAACTATATTGTCCGGGTGAGTCATTGCTGACTGACTTTGAGCGTCGTCTCTATTGTGTTGAAACAATGCATGCTGATGATCCTGCAGTCAATAATTAATTAAATAATAATTAATTATTATTTATAAATTAATATATAATTATAATAATTTATAATTATTATATATACTGAAATAATTATTATATATACTGAAATATTATTATATATACTGAAATGCTCTAGGTGACAAGACCAGGAATATAATAGCTTTCCACCAGTTAATCATGCCTATAAAAGAAAACATGTTGATTTTATTGGTATGTTTTCAAATGAAATTTGAACATCAGATAAATTGCTTAAGCAAGATTGCATNAGGGATGGTAGCACAATAAATTTTGCTGTCCAAGTTTTATTGCACCAGATTTCATGATAATCTCTTCACAATGATAATAATACAGTGTCAGGATTATAATTATAATAATAAATGCTATTGATGCAATCATTGAAATTAACTAATCCAGTCATTCCTAGACTTTTCTAATACAAAGACCCTTTGGGTCTTTTGGTAGGCAGTACCCAACTTCTCACAACCTTCACAAGTTCACAGTTAAAGGTTTATGGAGAAATGCATTTTTTTCTCTATAAGTTTGTTTCATTGACAGTTAATGGTAACAAAAATAGCAATACAAATTATTAAAATTTAAAAATTGATTCAAGTTTTAGGTACCATATCAGAGAACAAAATAATGTGGGCACATAACAAGTAAATTTTCTGATTATACAAACAATTTTGTGCAAGTGTGGAAATGCACATTGCACAAGTCCTAACACTTTTTCCTTTTAGCGATACAAGCCATGACTAATCCTGACTGGAAAATTGGGCAGAAGCCAGAAGCCACTTGTAAATTGGAAAGAAATGCAGCCAAACACCCATGATTCCATGAATCTAGCAAATTTTACCAGTTTCTATGATATTTTTTTCAATTTCTCCAGTGATAACACAAAAAACTGTAATTTGACTCACAATTTTTCATCATTTGCAAAACTACCTAGGTACCTAATGCTAATGGTTTTTACTGTCAAAATTTTGCTCATTATTTAAGGTTTGTCCAGAATTTTGTACCATGTTGAATACTAAATCAAAATTATTTTCCAAATTTACAGTTAAACTTAAATTAATTTCAACATAAAATTAGGTAAGTGATTGTGAATTTGTGATAATTTTAAAAATCAAGTTAGGCCTATTCAAAGAAATAATGAAGAATAAAATACAAAATTATATTATAAAATTCTTGAATTTAATAAAATTATTAGCCAAACATTGTCTAAACTCCCAACAATAGCTAGGCACAGAAGCAGGCACGCTGCGAATGTAATTAGGTACTAACCTGGCTTCAGCGTTTTGTCCTTGTCCATGGACCCAGGTCTACGAAGCACGGGACGCCCAGCTGTCGCAGGAGGTTCATTTTTGCCCGGCGCCGTGATGGGAGTACGTGGTCCTAGTCGAGACTGTACTCCTGTCCCTCCATTAGTCGAGTTGTTGACCGAAACGGGAGGCCGTGCAAAATTTGTTACCGGACCGCCGACATTTTGTGGACGAACAAATCCCTGTCCTCCTTGGTTTTGAAACATCATCCCCATACGATTCATGTTATTTTGAGGGGACTGGAATCTATTCATGTTCCCCATTTGATTAGTGAAAAAGTTCGTATTTTGACGATTGAATCCGTTATGCATGTTTGTACGTCTACTTTCACAATCTAGAAACTAAAGAACTCACTGCGCACTCACTTCGCTACTAACGCTCTCGGCTGCGTCTGGACGAAGTAATTACAGGATTGCCAACTATAGTCGCACTCGCACAGGCTGGCAAAGACAGTCAATATATGATTTATTTCTTAGAATAATTTTTAAATAACCCAGTCCTTCTTTAATTACTAATATCGTGGGAAACTTTGACTATCGTTAAAAACTAAATGTATTTAATGCACCTATTGTGGCATTGATTTGTATATCTCTGCGCTTCTAATTTTCTATAAATTTATTTGTTTCCAGTTCATATAAAATATAACAGTTATGTAAATGGTAAAACTTTTTCAACCATTTTTTCTTAGAAATAAATTATAAGGACATTTTATATATAAATGTTTCATTCTTTCAGCATGAAGTTTTTATGTCCGTAACTAACTCGATCGACAATTACCCGATCGACAATTCTACGGACTCGCCAGCGGACTTGCCTGCGGACTCGCGCAACTGGGCCACTCATAATTCCTTAAATACTTAACGGATCTGTATGAATTTTGAAATATGAGTATTATTTATCGATACGCTGCCGCAGGAATTATTACAGATTTTTACATGAATTATTTTTCAATTAAAACCAATAAACGGATTTTTTAAGCAACTGGGCCACTCATAATTCCTTCAATACTTAACGGATCTGTGTGAATTTTGGAATGCGAGTATTAATTATTGATACGTTGCCGCAGGAAATATTACAGGTTTTTACATAAATTAGTTTTCAATTAAAATCTATAAACGTATTTTTTGATCAACCGAGACACTCATAATTCCTTAAATAGTAAACAGATTTGCTTGAATTTTGGAATGTGAATATTTATTATCGATACGCTGCCGCAGAATAATAAAGACATGATTTGACTTGAATGCAGCGAAGTTACACATACAGTGAAATAATCTCAACTGCAGACGTGATGTACTAGAATAGAAAAGAAGAATAGAAGTGTCGGCGCTGAAGAAATAGGCCCATGGCCTGTTGCTGATTCTTGAACTTTTCGTGACTTGATTCACAAGGGATCCGGCCTTTGGAACCCGATCTTTCCTTAGCTGACGATTGATTGAGATAGCTGCTGGACTTATTGCCTGGTCCGTAATTTTACTAAGAAGATTTTATGAACAGAAGGTCATTCCATGACAGATCACTGGAAGATCGACATTTATTATAATAAATACTTTACAGTATTTTATTATCACTTGCGTTTTAAATACTTGTATGCTTAAAGGCCCACACGTTATGATGACAAGAGAAGAGAAGTCATTGAGACAATACTCAGGAAAACTTAAAAATAACTATATGTGCACTCAAAAAAATGAATAAGTCATGCTGTCCAAATAGTGACACACTTTCTTACCTACAGCTCAAGCAGATTGAGAACGTAGCTAAAATACAACGTAAACCTTAAGCAAAAACCTCCACGATGACAAGAGCGCATCGCAATTTTAACAAAGTCTCACTTATTTAACTGAGTGTGGTTACGAAACGTAAAAATTGTATGAATAACTAATTAACAGAGGCATGGTTGAACTAAAAAGCAAGTAATAATTACTAATATTAGTTCACCCATGAACAGAGATACTCAACTGATTTGCCATTTCAGCGGTGTCAACAGATATTCAAAAGGAACGATCTTAAATTTAAGCATAGGTATGAGAGAGTATAGAAAGGAGCACCAATAAGAAAACTTGGTAGTGCAAGATTCATCAACTGAACCTATGCAAACAGGCAAAATTAACTTAACTCAAAATTCAAATAAATATAAATCAGTGATTCCCAAACTATTTCAGGCTGGCGCCCCTTTGCCTCCCCGTGAATCTCTAGCACCCCCCTCCCCCCGACAGACAGGTATAAAACCAAACGCCTCCTTCTTGATAATTTAGTATGCATCAATATTGAAAGAGAGAGGTTAAACAAAAATGTATATTTCACAAATAGAACCCCATTTAGTAAACCGATATATTTTTTACAGTTTTAACTGGTGCAGCACTCAGACGGCTCAGACAAATTTACGGCCGAACTGCTGGCTGGTCTCGCAGCCGGTCTCACGGCCAATCTCCAAAATTCAGTGACCCAGGAATATCTCCCAAACTAATGAACGCAGTTCAATAAAATTTAGAACACGTATTCATTAGGACCTAACGATGATGCTTAGCTCGTGAAAAAATTTTAAATTTCACCTTCATTCGGGAGTTATATGGCGAGTTATATGGCGAACGGGCAGAAATACGCAGTGTTCAAAGAGTTTCTTCCGAACTACTGAACAGATTCGAACGAAATTTTGCATATAAATTCCTAACTAACAAACGGTGTTTTTTAGCTCGTGAACATTTTTTTCGATTCGGAGTCATGTTCTGCACGTGCTGTGTACAAATCATCAAACAAACGTACGAACTTCTGACATCATCTTCGTGGACTACCGCCCCCCCTACTGCCCCTTCCTTCCTCACCGCCTCCCCCAGATCTTTCCACCGGCCACAAGAGGGCGAGATCGCCCACTTTGGGAACCACTGATATAAATGCCCTCGAATGAACAGGGTTGAGTATAGACGCATACCAATCGCGTATCGGATGGCAAACAAAGACGCGTGCATGACGACTTCTGGAGCTCTGAAAATCCATCATAGCTCTATCAATGATATCAAACATATTGTCATTATTTGTACTTCTATTGACACAATAACAAAAATTAATGCTGCATAAGTTGATTTCACTGGAAACTCATTTATTTGACCACGCTGCTATAAAATTGGTCAAGGAACCGTGAAGATCTATTTTCCATGCCTGGAAGAAATGCATTATTAAGCAGTATGACGCATATAAAAATACGTATCAAAATATTTTTCTACCATCAATGTCCTTCATCACGTGCATCAGATGAAAGCGATGCCTCATATGAATGAATGTATGATGATGGTAGTAGAGCTGGGGACCTTCTGTTCTGTGTGAGGGCACCCATGGTTGAACTATATTCAACCATGAGGTTTGGAGTGACCATGAGGTTTATTTTATTCAACCTACTAGTTCAACCATGAGGGCACCCAAGTTCAGGGGGGATTTCAGCAAGCACCTAATTAAGTAATTCCAATTGTAATCATAACTTCGGGGCCGCAAGCAACAAATTAAGTATTAATTAACCCTTAAATCAGCCCTGAACGAAATCAAATAAACTATTAAATCAGCCCATCCAATTTAACTCTTAAATCAGCTTTTTCAGTAAGCTTCTTTAAAAAATCAAATACGGATCGTTGCGAATTTCCGGGATGAAAAAATTTTTCTGCTTAGTTAAAAAAAAAACGTTTGTTCTTGAGAAACAATTTAACGCACACGCAGAATTAATCATTGCATTAGACAAGTCTAGAAGATTTTCCTTTTTTTGATCAAATTGATATGACTTCAAATAAAAAGTGAGTTACAAAGTATATATACCTACTGATTATCTGATATAGGAATGTTCAACCGACGATCGACGAGTGACGACTTCGTCACTTCGTAGGTAGCCTACTCTATCAGTCTATGAGTCTATGTACCTAGCCTAGCTATAAAATCAATTAGTGGCCTAATTGTTCCTGTGGGTATTATTGCAGATTAACTACATCAAAAAAAAAAGGGTGTTTTATTTTTAATTATATGTTTTTTGGGGTGTAGATTACGAATCTGAAATCCATTTTTGGCGGTCAGCATCGGAAAACCGATTTTTTGCGGACCCAAAAATCGCGCTAAAAATGCCTAAAATCTGCGAAATCGGCGAAAAATCGGACGAAAATGTTACCCGTTGCAGTGCAACGGGTAACATTTTCGTCTTCTTTGTCCATAAATCTGGAGATACATTGCCACATCGAGAGATCACAACCTAACGCCAACTCGCAGGTTGGGTTGGTTCGCCCAGGTTCCTTTTAGATCAAAATGCTATCTAAAAAAAGGAACTTGGCTGACTTAACCCAACCTAAGAGCTTTTTGTAAAATTTCGATGAACAATCCGACCCTTTATATAAAGGTGAGTGGGTAACGTAAGTTACG